CACCCTCCCTCCCGCGAAGGAAGTCAGGGTGTCATCTCTCCAACGGGTGGTGTCTGCTTGGACGTCACTCACGCCTCCCAGAGGGTCAGGGAAATGCTGAGACGCAGACAAAATAAAACACGCGTCAGGGGTGGGGCCGGAACGTGCGCTCCGTCTCCCGCCGAGCCCTGGGCACCTCTGGGCGGCGGGCGGCTCGTCCGCAGTGCCTGTCCCCGAGGCCGGGCTGTGACCGCCGCCCGTGCCAGGCGCCCGGGACCCGCCAGGGAGCCAGCGACAGCCCGGCCCGAGGGCTGAAGGGACACGAGCGGGTGGAGGGGAGACGGCCTCCGCCTGGCGAGGGTCCGAGGTGCTGGGCCCGCGCTCGGGGCCCTGCGCTGGGGTGTGAATCCTACACCCGCCGACGCCCTGAGTCTGACGGCTCCGTGGATTCTCGGGGCTTTCTCTGTCAATGACGTCGCCCAGAAAGGACCATTTCCCTCCCCCTCCCCCGCCCGTCGGCCCCTCCCGCTCCTTCCCGCATCGCACGGGGCGGCGAGCCTCGCTGCCCCGTGTTCTTCAGACCCCCCCCCCCCCCCCCCCGGCACTTGCTCCTTCCTTGCTCTGTGGCCGCTGCTTCCCTTCTGTGCTCTCTGCGCCTCCCTTTCCTCTGGGCGCCCGTCCAGCTGAGACGGGAGGAAATGGTAGCCGCACACACAGCGGACAGAGGTTTGTATCGAGGCCGGAGGAAAGCAAAGTCCCGATGGAGCGGGGGCCGAGGGCAGACGGGAAGGCCGTGCGGACGTTCATGTGCAACCGGCACGTGAGGGGGGCCGCCTAGACTCCCGGGAAAGGGCAAACCAGGGCCCGGGAGCCTGTGAGGGCGGGACACGAGGCCACCCTTTCGGATAGCACCCCGCCCCCCAACACAGACACACACGTGTGCTAGGGGGAGATGTGCAGACAACCCTGAGCCCGGTCCCGGGGAGAAGCAGGAGGGACGCGGTGTCCTGGGTCCCTGGGGGGGGGGGGGGTTGCGCCCACAGCCTCCGGCTGGACAGAGCCCGCCCCCTGCAGCGGGAGGACGTGTGGGTCTCAGTGAATACCAGCCGCCGCAGCGAGGGCCTCGGCCAGGACGCGCCAGTGAGTCACGGGCACCGCCGGCTGCGGCTTCCTGGATGGAGGTCTTCCAGGCCCCTCCGGTGATTTCTGGAAGGAAAGAGAGGAAAATGCAGCGCCCTTCCTGGGACGGGGGCCGCGGGCGGGTTCTTTCATTGTTTCTTTATTGATTTCGGGGTGGGGGGTGGGGGGAGAAGCATCCACGATGGGAGAGCATCTTACAAAGTGGCCCCCGGGCCGCCCAGCACCATCGGACGCCAGGGGTTCCTTCTTCAGCGTCTGCTGGAGGCTGAGCTTTTCTTATAGAAATGTATTGGGGTGTTTTCTCTGCGTCTCTCATCGGGGTTTTAGACGCCACGGCCCCGCCCCAGCCGCCGCCCTCACGCAGGAAGCCAGGTCAGCGTCCCAGGTCCCTCTCGGTCACAGTCACTCTTTTTTCTCCACGAGCGAAGCCCCCGGTTCACGGGCGGGCAGGGGCCGGGGTGGGGGGCAGTGTCCCTCGGGGCCGAGGGCAGGACGGGCAGACAGCTCCCCGCAGCCCAGGCCGCGTTCTCGGGGCTTCCCGGCGCCCACCCCTCCCTCCGGCTGCGCATCACCCCGCTCAGCAGGCGAAGGCCCTGCATTTAATCAGAAGAGAGAGGAACCGCCCGCCCGCCCGGCGCGGCTCAGGGGCTGAGCGTCGACCTAGGAACCAGGAGGCCAGGGTTCGATTCCCCGTCAGGGCACAGGCCCGGGCTGCAGGCTCCATCCCCAGCGGGGGGCGTGCAGGAGGCAGCAGATCAATGAGTCTTTCATCATTGATGTTTCCACGTCTCTTTCCCTCTCCCTTCCTCTCGGAAATCAATAACAATGTATTGAAGAGAGAGAGAGAGAGAGAGAGAGGGGAACCGACTCTGACCGGCATCCCCGGCCGAGAGGCGAGAAAATACATCAACAAACGCCCAACAAAACACAAAAAAGCGCCTGACGCGCAGCGATCAGGGAGGAGGAGGCCGTTCTGAGGCTGACGGGAGGCGCCGCCCGCCCGCCGAGCCCAGAGGCTCATGTGTTAGTCACCAGCCGCCAGGCGCTCCCCCGCGGCCGTGAATAACCCGTGTGGTGACTGTTACACGAGGAGCAGCTGATACGGCAGGAGCCCGAGCCCGAGCCCGAGCCGCACGGGGGCGGGGGCGGGAGCGGGGCTGCCGTTCCCCTGACGGCAGGTGGCAGGTGCGCCGGCGCCCGCGGCTCGGGTTTGCAGGGGGCACCCCTGGGGGCGGACAGGCCCTCCCTCCGCGGCCTGTTCCGAGGTGCTGCCCAAGCCGGGACCTGGAGACGGAGCGAGGAGGAGCCTGCCCCCCGGGCTCTGTCCTGGCCCCGGCGGCAGGGGGAGGCCGTTGTGCGTGGCCTGCACAGCCCAGGGGGCCGGCGGGACAGACGGCGAGGCGAGCGGAGGCCACCGTCCACACCCAGCGCCGGCCCCTCCCTGCCTCCTGGCCCTAAGGCTGGGCGCCCAGGAACAAGGAGCACAGTGGTTACACACCAGGAGGCAGGGTGGGGTCAGATTGGTGAAGAGGGGTGCGCTCCATGCTAACGGCCTGAGGAGGCGCAATGCGACGCTGCAAAAATAAGCCGCAGCAGGTGAACTTTTATTGGGCTGTTCCTGTGCATGTGCGCACACACACATGCATGTGCACACACATATGTGCACACACTTCCACAAGCACATGCCTGAATTCCTGCGTGGGTGACTATGTACATGCCCACACATGTACAGATGACCACAGTGCTGTGTGCATGACTCAGTACGCACACGCACACGCACACACATGCACACACACGCACACGCACACACACGCGCACACACTTGTCTGAATTCCTGTGTGCACAACTATGCAGTGCACGTGTGTGTGTGCGTGTGTGTGCAGCCATGCCTGCATTCCCGTGTGCCGCGTGCACACCACAGACACTCAGAGTGCCTTTCATCCTCCCTCCAAGCGACTTTTTGGGGAACCAGCTGCCGCAGCCCAGGCGCCATCCTCATGCCAGGTGGACGCCTCGCGGGTGTGACTCGCTCGGACGCGGAACGAGACTCGGTGCGTGGCCCTCGGAGCGGCGCGGGCAGGAGGGCGGGTGTGGCACCCCCTCCCGCTTCGGCCCCGCGTGTACCCCTCCCGCCCGCCTGCCTGCTGACGCCGAGTTGGCTTCCTTGGTTAGCAGCGAAACCCAGATGTTCGTCACAGATGTTTTCCTCTCTTTCTTTCCCTTGTTTTTTTTTCACTCGTCAAACAAGCCCGGCGTCAGGAAACACGGCAGGGCGCGCGCTCCCGGTGTCGGAGCGCCAGGCCCCTGTCAGGAGCGCCAGGAATCGCGCGCTCACCAAGGCGTGTTCCCTTCGCCGCCCGAGTCGCGCCGCCTTCCAGGTGTGTTGGACGTGCGGAGTCACACCGCCCCGTCCGGCTGGGGAGACCGCAGGGCGAAGGCCACAGAAAAGGGGGAAGGCTGCAGGGGGCCCCCCCAGGGCTGACGGGAGATCGGTGGGCGACGGGTGGGCAGGATTCCAGGTCACAGGGAGGGACGGTGCGGAGGTCGGAGGTGGCGTTTGGGGGAGAGAGAGGAGGTGCCTGCATGGCAGTGGGGCGGGGAGAGTCTCAGGAGCCGGAGCCGGGGACCAGGGACAGCGAGCGGACGGCAGGGGCTCAGCGGAGGCTCTGAGGGCCGGCGTCCCGGGGGAGGGCCGTGTGCGCTTTGGGGTTCAGTCCTCGGGGGAAGCTGTCCCCCACAGACACCCTCCCTCCCCAGGACCTTCCTCTCCTCCTGCGCCTCCCGCTCCGGGCACTTCTGCCCCCTCCCTTGTCTGTCGGCACCCCAGCCTCTTCAATGTTAACCGGGAGAATTCAGCCTGGACCCCCAGCCAGCGCAGTGGGTGCTGGCGGCCCTGGCAGGTTCTGGCGCCAACAGCAGGGCACGCGTTAGCAAAGGAGACAAATGGAGTAAATGCCCCCCCGCCCCCCCAGCCCCCAGCCCGGCCGGCAGACCTCCCCGCGCAGAGCGAACTGCTTCCTCCCGTCTGGCTGTCACTGAGGTCCCCCAGGGCTGGCTCGGAGACGCCTCCCGCCTCCTCTGCGAGCCCCAGTTTACAGGGTCCCCTCCGTGGCTTTTCAGCGTCTCCATGGACACGTCGTGCATCTCGCTCATCACGCGAGCTGACCCTGGGCGCAGGCTGATCCCACTGGTTGAAAGGTCTTTGTGAACCCCAGAGGGGTCCCCTGTGACCGGGGCTGGGTCGCGCGGCTTTACTCGCTTGTGACTCCGTGGGTGCCACCGTGTGAGACCAGGGCCAGAGCCGGGCACACGGCTGCCCGCCGAGGTTCCCCCGAGCCAGGGCGACGCTGAGCACGACCCCCACCCAGGCTGCGTCTACGCGAGTGAAGGGGGGGCGCTGGGACCGTGATGCGGGCGTCCCCCATCGGCCTGGTGTCCCCGCGCCGCTTGTGGTGAGGCCCCCACAGGAGCGGCAGGGCTGGGGCCTCTGTGCCCAGGCGGTGAGCGGGCCGCCTCCCGCTTCCTCCGTGGCCGTGTTTGCAGACGCCGTCCCCCTGGCTACGTCCTGGGACTGATTTTTATTGATCTCAGAGAGGAAGGGGGAGGGAGCGAGCGAGAAGCACCAATGATCGGAGAGAGTCATGGACCGGCAGCCTCCTGCACGGCCCCTCCTGGGGATCAAGCCTGCAACCCGAGCCTGTGCCCCGACCGGGAATCGAACCCGGGACCCTTCAGTCCGCAGACCAACGCTCTGTTCCCTGAGCCACACCGGCCAGGGCCATCCTAGGACATTTTTAACTGGGAGCACGGGAGAGGGTGTGTGATGGTCTCCAGACAGTCGGAGATCGAAACGGTTCTGTTCTTGTGTTTTCTCCCCACAGCGCGGTGTCGAGTCTGATCCATCAGGGGAGGACCTGCCGTGTTTCCCCCGCGGGTCTGCGGCCTCGGCTGGGCCCGTCCCAGGAGCCACCTGCAGACTGGTGAGTGCCTTGGCCGCACCTTCTCTCCGCACGCTGGCTCTCAGATCCCGGCCCCTTGGAGGCCGGCCTGGGCGGGAAGGTGGCCTGGAGGGCTGGGGGTGGGGGGGATGTGGCCTGGAGGGCTGGGGCGCCCTGCTGGGGACGAGGCAGGCCCACCCGCCCCCCTTCCTTCTTGGACCCGTCACAAAATGCAAACCAGCGAGTGTGTAATAGATAATGAACAGGCTGATCAGCCAGCAGGGGACGCAAGGAGATACATAATTTTGATTACCCTTGGGCTGCCCGTGATTCCCTCCCTGCCTTTTTACTAAGCTCTGTTTTCGGGAGCCCTGAATACCGTGTGCCATCCTGGCAAGTCCCTGCCCGCTGCTGCAGGGTCTCCTACCGGCCTGCCCTGGGCTGGACATGCATGACCTCAGGGCCTCACAGGGGCAGCAGCCCGGCTCCGGCACCTGGCAAAGGGCTCAAGTGCTGGGGCCGGCGGAGACCAGGCGGTCGTGCTCAGCTCCCAGGCCCGCCTCCGCCCTCCGCCCGCCGCCCGCCGTGGTGCTGCTTATATGCTGGCGGACTTAGCGACCTTTACTGGGCTTGGCACCTGCCCTGTACATGCCAGCTCGCTGGCCTCCCCAGGGAGGACCTGGCCCATGAATATCCTTGGCCGAGGTCCCTCCTGCTCCCAGTGCCAACAGGGAAAGTGGGTTAACACATATCAAAGAAAAGGCCCTCAAGGGGGCCTGCAGCCAACTGTGTCCCAGACGCTCCCAGAGTGGCTGATGGGCCCCGGCGGGCGTGGGCTCCCTTCCCCCTCCCCTCCTGCCCCACCCCCACCAGGTCCAGCACCCAGCCTGCGGGTCTGAGGACAGGGCTCGGTGTGGCCTTTGGGCGCGTGGGGCCGCACAGCGGAGGCATGGATTGATTTCCCGGGGGACATGGGCCCTGGAGGCATGTGCGTGGGGTCAGAGGCCGGGAGCCTTGTCCGCCAGGGAGGGTGGGTGACCGATGGACAACAGCCAGACCTGTGCCTCCTGCCAGGCGAGGCCGCATGGGGCTGGCACCTGCCCCCAGCACAGGGGCTCGGTCAGTGTCTGAGGAATGAGTGTGGGGCCCCCAGGAGAAATGGGTGAGAGACAGCCACGTGGACGAGGGGGATGGGGTCTCCTGCAGACGGGTGTGTGCGTGCACCGGCCCAGGACACGGTGCCAGACCTCAGGGCGTGCATGTGTGTGCATGCAGGTATGTGTGCGTGCGTGTGCGTATGTGCATGTGTGTATGCGTGTGCGTGGGGGAGGACAGAGGTAACCTTTTTTGGGGGTTAGAGTTTTTTACAGTATCTGGCTGATGGCAGGTCGTTTTGGAGAAGTTCCTTTGTGTCTTCTGTTTGAGTCTGCGCACGGGGAGCCCGTACATCCCGCTGCGGGTCTGGCTGCGTCAGCGGTCTGCGGAATGAACTGATAGTAAACGCGACAAAGGTCTCTAATTCACCTCGCTCGCTCTGCCTCCGCCCTCCGCCTGCCCCTTCCCAACGCCCTGCTCCTGCCCCCAGCAACCCCCCACACACACACACAAGCTGTAACTGAAACTCGGGGAAATGGAAGATGGCCCTTCCCGGGATCGCCGCGGGCTTGTTCGTTACGTGACGCCTCGGGACTCGGGACTGTGTACAGAGAGCTGCTCGGTTCCACCGCTGAGACGGACGGACAGACGGACGGACGCTCCCGCCCATGCCGTGCCCCCTGTACTCCCAGCGTCTGGTAAAGGGCTGTCGCCCGACCAGCACAAACACGCTGGCTGTCCTCACACACTCCACGGCTCTCGGCCGGGCACGGACGCGCCAGCTCACTCCTGAGCCGTGCCCGGAGCAGCCCTCGGCCTGCGGCTCCCCTCCCTCCGGCATGGTGTGCGGTGGGGAAGTGGGGGGGGGGGCAGGGCAGGACACCGAGTGTGACACGGCAAGAATGGTTGGAAACACATGTAAACCAACACCTCTGGGTCCTTTACTCGGCGCCTCCCGCATGCTCAGACCCGCGTCTACAGCTCAGAGTCAGGCAGTCTCCTCCCAGACTCCCCCCGGTTCCCTGAGCTGGAAGCCACTTGCCAGAGAGGAACTGGCTCCCACCCAAAATGCACGGAGAGGCCAGGGCCGCAGGCAGCCCTCCCACCTCCCTTGGCCCGGTGCCCGTTCACTCCCCCCTTGCTCTCCCCACAGAACGAATCTCGATTTAGGAAATCCGTCCCGGCAGCCGTGTCTCCTCCTTAACGCGCCCCAGTTGCCGGGACCTGGAAAATGTGCCGTGGGCGGGCGGGACGGCCTCCACAGGCGCTTCCAGAGTGGCGGGTGGACCGTGCACACGCGGCAGAATTAGCTGCATGCTGTGCGTCTCCGGGCCCCTGCTGCTGGCGCCAGATAAAACCGTGGCCTCCGAGAAGACCCCCGCATCCGAGCCCGTCGCGGGGTGGCCGCGCTCTCGTGCACGGAGTCTCCGACCAGGCCTGGTGCGGCGGGAAGGCGAGCGGCTCGGGGCACAGCTGTGCTCATCGTTTCCATGGTAGAAAGTTGCCAGGAGCCAGTCCATCCTTGCTGTTTCAAGGGACCTGGCATATATGGCATACTGTTCTTAATATGTTTGCTCACCTTCTTGGCACTATGTGTTTTAACCAAGGTCACCTCTCTGAGAAAGGTTGTTTCCCCAGGTAGGGATTTTCCCCTGAAGTTAGGGAGGGAATAAAACCCCTTAACTAAGTGCCAGGCGGGTAATTAATCACTTTAACTATGAACAATCATGCTTAAGCTACATAATCTTTACTCCCTAGAATGGAGATAAGAAACGCCCTAACCTTTGTAATAGAGATTGATAGGATTGGAATCAACTGGTATAAATACAGATGTAACAAGACAATAATACACAGAACCTAGGCAGAACCTAGACACAGAACCTAGACAGAACCTAGACTCAGAACCTAGACTCAGAACCTAGACACAGAACCTACACAGAACCTAGAGACAGAAGAACTTCACTGGAGAGAACATGGCAAAAGATCCTGGACAGAAACTGGCCACAGAACCTAGAGACAGAACCTAGCGAGAGAACCTGGCTGAAGAACCCGGCTACAGAATCTGGCAACAGAACCTGACTGGAGAACCTGGAGAACAAGGCAAGAGAACCCAACCATGCTGATCAACTGAACGTTGCCTCTGTGCCATTCATTCCTTCTTCGCCGACTCCGTCCACACCTTTGGGGACCCCTGGACCTGCTGGGGTTGGACCCCAGCAGAAAGTCAGGCTGCGTCGGGGCCTGGCCTCTCCCATCACCAACCTCAGCCCCGCCCGCCTCCAGGGGCGACCCTCTTCCTCCTCACGGACAGAGCTTTAGGGAGTTTTCCAGGCGGATGGAGGGTCGGCGCTGAGAGGAGTGAAAACCGGTGGTGATCAGTCAGGTTTCAGGTTGACGAAGGCAGGTCAGCGGGGCAGGACCTCCCTGAGCTCTGGCTGCTGGTTCCAGGTGAGAAGGGCGTGCAGGTGCTTCCAGGTGCGGGACAGAGATGAGCTGAGGCCAGGGCACCAGCCCCAGACAGGAGCGAGGAGGCGCCCGGCCCCCAGCCACCCCCTGCCGCTGTCCGTGGTGCTGGTGTGTTCTCTGCACCCCGTAGCTCTTCCTGTTTCAGAGAAGGAGGTGTCTCCGCAGTGAGGTGCGGGGTTGGGGGGCGGGGTAGGTGTGCCTGATCTGACCTGTTAGCTGCCCTCTGGCCTCCCTTCTGCCGGAGGCGGGGCGAGGGGGTGCGGGGCGGGGGGCGACACCCAGCATGGAGAAGCTGTTAAGAAAAAGCAGCGACTTGCTGGAGACTAGTGAGCTGGTTGTTTGCTTTCCTTTCCTTTTTAAATTTATGTTTAAAACATCTTTATTGCATATGTCCCCCTTTTCCCCATGGACCCCTTCCAGCCGCCCACTCCCTGCCCCAGACCTTCCCGCCCTGTAGTCTGTGTCCGTGGGTCATGCATGTTTGCATACGAGGCCTTTGGCTGGGTATCTCTCACTGCTTTGCTTTTCTAACCCCATGAGGCCGCCGTGTGGCCACCGTGGGCCGCCTCGTAGCCTGCGCTCTGGGTGTTGGCCTGTCCTGGTCGCGGGACGGGTGGCTGCGTGTGCGACCATGACATTGCCTCTGAATGAGGCCCGCCCCGGGCGGGCCGAGGGCTCCCGTCAGCCCCGTCTCCTTTCTCCATCCTGGAACAGCCCTGGGTGAGGCCCTCACCGGGACGGACCCCGCAGCCCTTGCCGTGGGCCTCGTCTCCTGCCTCTGACACATTCCATGGTGACAGGTGGCCGTCCAGCCGCGTTGCCGTCCCCCAAAGCAGCAGGTTACCCACAGAGTGACTTGAGGTGAGCAGCAGACAAGAACCCGGGACAGTTCCTGCTGACCCCCGTGTGACCTTGGGCGAGCCTCTACCTCCCCCAGTTCTCAGTTTTCTCACCTGTTAAATGGGATGCGGGGCTGTCGGGAGGATCAAATGAGGCAAAGACTTCGTGTGCCTTTGAAAGGCTGGGGAACGTCGTACAAACGTAAGGCGTTAACCAGCGGCCTCCTAAAAAGGAAGAGGTTTCTGCGGCCTCCGTCTCATGTTCCCGCCCAGGGTGGTGGGGGAGGGGCAGGACGCCAAAGCAAGGCCCCGGGAGACCCTGTTCACTGAGACTCGAGTGGCCAGCACAGCAGCTCTCGTCCTTGACCACAGGCGGCCATGTACCGTGGCCCTGCCCTCCCCAGCCCTCAGCACCGCACCCCATAACTGCTGGTCCCTCCAGGCAGGGCCAGGAGAGGGTGGGGAGCAGGGGGAGCGCCTGGGCAAGCGCAGCCTTCTAGACTACGGGCGGGGGTGGGGGTGGGGGCTGACCTGCTCGCTGAGGAGCTGCCTTGCCCCAGCAGATTCCTCTCCAAGCCCCGGGGTCCCTGGGAGGAGAGGGTATGGGGGGGCACAATGGGGAGCCTCTCCGCCCACCGGTCT